ACTGTGAATAAGTGGCCCAATTACCTGTACTGGAAATGTCTGAAGCACTTCTTGGTTGTGAGCCTGTACACTCAGGTTTTGGGACAATGTTACGGCAGTTTAATCCAACCTGTCATGTGGTGCCCCTTGATTTCCGGGCAGTTCAGGTCGTCAGAGTAACTGGGTTACACATGTAACACATTCCCCACTTCTCTGAGAGTCTTCTGATCTTTCTGGAATGTGCTTACCCCATCCTCTGGATTGTACTCTTGGACGACATTTGATTGGGTTCTGTTAATCTTATCATGTAAACACAGCGCACAGAAAGATCAGCATGAGCCCACTCTCCTTAACTCTGTCGTGTGTGCACCTTCCAAATTCCACTGAAGCCTCAGAAGGCAGAGCTCTGGGGCGATCAACACAGCGAAGGGGAGTGAAGCGCAAGGCAGGAGTTAACAGAAGATGGAGGGTGCCTGGGCCCCTGTGGGATGAGGGTGGGAGGCTATACAAATGGCCTAGAAGCAATGGGAAATCGAGCAAATGAGAGTCTGCCTTCCCTCAGTGCATGTGAGGGTAAGTCACAGTGGAGGCCTTACAAGGTCATGAGGAGCCTGCCGTTGCTGAGCTGAGGGGTGGAAGTTTGGCCAGCCATTCCTAAAGCAGAATATTCATCCCTGATAGGGGAAATGCCCGCAAAGGAGCCGGGCTGGCTCTTCTCCAGGTCTTTAGTGCTCTATTTAAGGCTCCGTGAAGAAGCCAGCTGCTGACAGAACAGCAGTGTGTGTGAAAAGGGCCCTTCTTCATGCCCCGCCCTTGGCAGTCTGGCTAGCTCAAGGCCCCAGCAGAGACTCAGAACAGGGTTCCCAGAGCTGCTGCCTCACGAACAGCTGCTGTTTGCTGTTGTCCTCAACCGCAGGCCTACTGACCTCCCCACATCTAGACACTTTGCCAGGGGCTGAGACTGAGGCCACGAGATGCTCCCTTGGGAGTGTGTTGGTTCTAAGTGGAAGGAAGAGCTGGGAGCCCAGTGTCGTGGGTTCCCTGACTGAGGCCTCCTGAGGCCACACTGGGGCTCCCGACCAGCATCTGATGGACTCAGTGAGCTGATGTTGCTTGTCAGTTGGGTGGCTCCGAATTTCTTGCACACCCTCACATGGGGATTATCTCAGTTCCTAAGGGCTCAGTCATGCTATCCTCATGTATTTGGCATTCACCAGCAGAACCCCACCCCTGTCTCTGTCTCTAAGGCTTCTGTTTTCTGATTCATCCCTCTCCAGTCTCTGCTTCTCGTTCTGTTTCCTTTCCTCCTCCATCTCTACTGTTGTCTCAAGAAATTAGGACAGGCCAAAGAAGACAGAAATGTTTTGCGGAATACCCCAGCTGATGGGTCACACAGGCAATTTACTCTATCAGGAGACATTTATCAAGCATTTCTTCCAGGCTGTGCATTACTAGGTATTAAATATAGAATGACTGATAAAACAGAAAAAAGTCGCTGCACTCACAGGAAATAAGTGAGATAGATAGCTGAGTGAATGCACAAAGAATTGCCTTCTTTTAATCAGTGTTTTGAAGAAAAAGCATGGGTCCATGATTGAGAACAGCTGGGTGAGGTGGGAAAGCAAAGGAACAGGCTCTCTTGTGAGATGAAGGAAAACTTCAATCTCAAACCTGAGTTGGAAGCAGCCACAGTTCACATTGTGAGGGCATATTCTTGGCACATGGAACAGTGGTGGCAGAAGTCCCAAGGTGGAAAAGCACATGAAAGAGCAATGGGAATACTACATGGAAGTGAAATAGTGGATGTGTGCACTCAAAAACGGAGAGCAGGGCCCGGTGCGGTGGCCTAGCAGCCAAAGTCCTTGCCTTGAACTCGCCGGGATCCCATATGGGTGCCAGTTCTAACACTGGCAGCCTTTTTCTCATCCAGCTCCCTTCCTGTGGCCTGGGAAAGCAGTCAAGGAAGGCCCAAATCCTTGGGATCCTGTATCTGCGTGGGAGACCTGGAAAAAACTCCTGGTGCCTGGCTTTGTATCAGCTCAGCTCTGGCCATTCGGTCACCTGGGGAGTGAATCATCAGACAGAAGATCTTCCTGTCTGTCTTTCCTCCTCAGTGTATATCTGACTTTCCAATTAAAATAAATAAAAAATTTTTAAAAATGGAGAGCAGAGGATGAAGGCTATCATCATGGCTGAGTTAGGGATGGCTCACTAAGGAAGGGCCGTGCCAGGCAGATCCTGAAGGACAAACCAAGTTCAATGGATAGAGAAGAAAGGAAAGGAGACAGGGCAATTTGTACAAAAGCAGGAAGTGAAGAGAAAAGCATGATATGCCAGAGAAGGGTGGGGGAATTAAACTTCAGTCTATGGTGGGAGTGGGAATGGCAGAAAATAAAGCTAGAGCAATGGAGTGGGACTGTTTATATCATAGAGGATTTTGTATCTAAAAATGAGCTTAAACTTTATGCTGAGGACAGTGGAGAATCATCGTAAGTAACTAGACAAAGGCTGAAAGTCTAACTCTGGCAGCAACATGAGAACACTTTGTCTTTTAAGAGCACAAGCCCTTTGTCACTCCACTGCCTTGTGTGGGAATTCACCTTGAGGAGAGGGTGAATGCAAATATGTGAATGATGCACTTCACAGTGATGTGGCTTGAGTATTTAGAAATATTATAGTGTGTCAGTACAGCCACCTTTTGTGCTACCACTAAACTGGCATGACAAATGAAGGTACTCTAAGGAATTAGAAGACAATGGGATTAAAAGAAAAATACATTTTGGTATAATTTTTCATAAATATGTATCCTATTAACTTTTGAATAACCTTGTGCATTTACCTATTGACATGACGACTATGTGTGATAAGCAAAAACTTTACAGTGTGATGTGCAAATGATCCAATTTCCTTTAAAATTGCACTCAGGCGCATACATGTGTACATGCACAGATTCATATTTGCAACAGAAGTTTCTGAAGGGGTATGTGCTGTGTCCCCATTTTAAGAGTAGTTGTCTCTGGGTGGCTGTGATTAGATGAGTTTTATATGTTAATCTGAAATACACAGAGAACAATATTTTTGTACTGGCAAAAACAACAATGATTGTCGCAGGAATGTTTAGGAAGGAGAGTTAGAATTCTAGGGTTGGGTACTAAAGGGTCTGAGGTGAGAGATGGGTCAGGAAGAAGACTGGATAGAAAGCAGCAGAAGAGAAACATGGAGGAGAAATAGGAGTCAGTGGATCTAATGAGAGAATGGCCTCTGAAATGAGTCTGGAAGAAACAGTACAACGATGACAGGTGGTGTGCTGCAAGGATGGATGAACTCCTTTGGAGGAAGAGGATGGATTGAGCGTCAGGCTGAAGGACGCAGCTGATAAAAGTACTATAAGATTCCCATTGCTGGGGAAGTCAAGAAGGAGGATAAGCCTGGCCCAAAGCTTCACTGGGAAGAGGGAGGAAACCCAGAATGTACCCAGGAAACAGAGCAGAAAGTGTCAAGGAGGGGAGCTGGTTTCTTGAACGAACATCTCGTAGACACCTTAAATGCTTTCCAAGTATAGATATTTGACCTGGAGGTTAAGATCTACTTGGGAAACCTACATGCCGTATCAGAGTTCTTGGCAGAGTTCCAACTCTGCCACTTGCAATCCGGCTTCTTGCTAATGTGCACCTAGTGAGACAGCAGATGATGGCTGTGATGGTTGAGCCCTACTCTACATGGGAGACCTGGATGGAGTTCTTGGCTCCTGACTTTTGCCTGGTCCAGTCCTGCTGTTGCAGACTGTTGTAGAATGAACCAGCAGATGGAAAGTCTCTCCTTTTGTCCCTCTGCTTCTTTGCCTCTCGGATAAAAATAATTATAGTTTCTTGGAAAGAGTACTGATTGGTTTTGAGTACAGGGTGTTTTGACACATTTCCTGGGGGTGAGCAATAGGTTGTAAAAGTACAGGAAACTGCTGCCCCAGGAGTCCCCTCTGGGAAAAGGCAGTGACGGAGGGAGATGTCAGAGTATAAGGGGAGAGGCCTAGCCTGGTCAAGGGAAATAAACATTTCCAATGCCTTTCTTTTCTCCTGGGAGAGCTGGGGGTGGGAAGCCACCCTACATAGGATGTGAAGATGGATTAAATGAGGCAGAGTCATTGTACTCGTTCCAGGGTGGATATGGAATGCACACAGTGCCTTCTGTGAGGATGTTACAGTAGATGAATCCATTAACTTCTACCAGAAACAAAGAGAAAGAAATAAAGAAATGAACAGAGTCTGCTAAGACACAAGGACCGAGAAGGGATCAATTCCCAAGTGAGCTGCACATGATGATGGGGATAATTCAGTGTCTTCTCAGCTCCATCAGTCGTAGTGCTGGGATCCTGCTCTTATTGGCCTTGCAGTCAGATTTGCTGTGTTTTAATACAGGCTGTCACGGAGCATGATGTGTAACCCCCTCGATTCCTTAGTTGTCCACTTTGTAAATTGGGAATACTGATAGTCACTTTACCTCTGTCAATCACCCCAACCTTTGTACTTAGCATACATGAGTTGTAGAATCTCCTAGAATGTGCCGTTAGTATCATCACCACTGACTTCTCCAGTGTCATCAGCATGATCAGCTTTTGGGGGAGAAGTTAGAATAAATTTCAGATAAAGAATTTAGCACACTTAGTTGGGTTTTGAAGAAAAATGAGGAGCTTGTCAGGTGGAAGATGTTGGTAGTGCAGCAGCAAAGGACGTGCCAGGCCAAGAGATTAGAAACTGTGAGGATACAGAGGCCTGATACATAGAACAGCATGTGAAATTTTATATCGTGGATAGATTCTTGTTCATATCTGGTAAAAAAAAATTGTGACATTTGGTGCCATTTCTTTTCCCAGCCAGATAACACATTTCTGGACATTTTGCCAATTGTTCTAATAGGTCCTGAATTTGAACCCTGTAATTGTACCTGCTATGTCATTTCCAAGCCAGGGACAAGTGGACTAAATGTGATTGGATGTGACTGGTTTTACTTTTTTGTTTGCCTAGACTAAAGATGCCCTCTTCACTATTCTCCATGATCTCCGACCCCAAGACCGTTTCAGTATCATTGGCTTTTCCAACCGAATTAAAGTGTGGAAGGACCAGTTGATCTCAGTCACTCCTAACAATATCAGGGATGGCAAAATCTATATTCATCATATGTCACCCACTGGAGGTAAAAATAATTCCTTTTTCTCAAGTGAGCTTTTATGGAATGGTAGAAAATTTTCTGCCAAGAGATCAAGACTGGAAAACTGAGGATTGTGGGAAAGGTGAGAGCTTTCCCAGGAGCTTATGATTGTCTGAACCCCAAATTTATAAATTTAGTGTTGATGAAGTTATGGCAAAAAATACCTGATGGGTGTTTGGAAGCTTGGGTTATCTTACACATCCTGGATATTGAGAATGCTTTTGTAATTTATTCTTGGGTAGAGAATTAAATGCATATGGGTGACTGACCCAGTGTTTTGTGTGCCTGAATCTCCTCCACTTTAAGACAGCAGCATATGGAACTGCCCTATAAAAAAAAAAACCAAGTAGATTCTCAGCAAAGCTGCAACAGATTGAGGCAATATGACATTCCTGGTGGCCTGGCAGGTGCTGTGAATGTAAAGTGTGAGAGGCAGGCTGCTAGGCTCTGAGTGGTCTAGGGCTTCTCTTAGGTATGCTGCCCAGGTGAGGGTGCAGAGAGTGAAGAGAGAAGAGGATGGATGGTGAAGAACTCAGAGATCAGACTGAGTACATTCCTTCAGTTCATAACCGGGGTCTTATTCTTCCTGTTACTGAATTCTGAACAGAGTTGGACACAGGAGAGATAGTTAGTATTGGAGTAATTAATGGGATTGGTCCTGACTGCTAGCTTCCGTGCTAAAGGCTCTTTACAAAGACACCATCTCAAGGAGTTGACATCTTGATTAATTATCTAGAAAGATATAAAACACTTAGTACACTTTCTTCCCTCCGGGATATTTCATCCTCCTGATATTCATTTTTTCTCATACATAACAAAAACACGATTTTCCAAATGAACTTCATCCGTAACCTGATCTTGCTTAAACCAGTGCTTTGACTTACAGTAAGGTTTTCCAACAGTCTGCAAAACAGGAGTTTAACAGTAATTGAGAGGTTTGATTGGCTGATGGGAGAAATCAGATTATGTTTAATGTTATGATAATGATCTGCTGCAGTAAGTTGGTGAGATGGTAAAGCCTTGAGGGAAGAAGCTCCTCTCCATTTTCGTGGAGCCCCTTGTGTTCCTAATGTGATTCCTGAGATGTAGCGCAAGCGCCACCAATATTGATTCAGTTCAGCTTATTGAAATGGTGCCACTGGTATTAGAACAGTGTGAATGTGATGGGAAGGGTTGATAATCATGGTTTGAAACAAGCTAATATCTACTATGTGCTAAAATTCAAACCTTAGAAATCCATTGATTGCCTTTTTTTTTTTCTACTTCATTGCTCCAATCTGTTTAGGTGGACAACAAATGAAACTGCTTTTGCCTAAGTGCTGAGAATGTCAGTTGTGAAGTCAGGCTTTCTGGACTTGATTTAAACTCTGCTAACTACTGGCCATTTAGCCTCTACATGCCTCAATTTTCTTATCTGCCAATGGAGAGAATAATAGAATTGCTTTAGGTTGAGTGAGTTACAATATAATTAATGCTCTTAGAATGGTGCAGGCATGTAGCAAGTCCCTACTAAGCATCCAATGGGACCATTATTTTTATCCTCTTGACAAATCCCTCTTGCTTACCCTTTGGTTGTCTGATGCCTCCAAGGAAGCTTTTGATGAGATAAGTGGTTATGGAAGCGCTTTAGGAATCTCATTGTGGAGAGCTCTTCATTGCTGTTGCTGATTGAGCGGGCAGGAGAGTCTTCCTTACCACAGGTTTGCTTCCAAGCCCTGCAGTGTCTTTGTGGCATCAGGAAGCTAAATCCATCCTTTGTCTTGGCTCTTCTACACTGTAAAGCAGAGTGAGAGATTTGGCACAGTTGCTAAGTGCAGATTAAAGAGAAAACAAACACCTGCTGGTTAATCCATGCCCACACTTGGAGAGGCAACATAAAATTAGACTGGACACGAAGAAAGGCAAATTAACGAGCATAAAGGAACAGTGACCATTGCTTTAGCTGTAATTTTCCATTCCCTTTAAGTACTGTGTGCATCTTAGCAACAATTTTGTACATTTGTCACAGACATCAGACCTTCTATGTTTTTTAGCCAGGATTTCTGAAGGTCTATAGCAGTGAGGGAAATGAACTGGTTGTATCAACCATGGTACATTCTGCAGGTAGATAGAAAGCACTCAGTCAGGATTATGGATGATGACAACAGTTACAAAAGTTTAGACGCTTGTTAGAAATAGTAGATTGACATTAAAAATGAGTAGTTTATCTGATATGTAAGCTTTATCTCCAGTCTTGAAAGCAAGACCACCAGGGTAGGTCCTGTGATGCAGTGGAATCAGCCACCACTTGGGATGCTCACAGCCCATCTTGGAATGCTAGCTTGAGTTCTAGTTTCTCCATTTATGATCCATGTGTTCCTGCTAATGTGCAGGTAGTGGCCCAACTACTTAGGTCTCTGCCACCCTTGGGAGACCTGGATGTAGTTCTGGGCTCCTGGTCTTAGCTTGGTCCAGCACCAGCTATTGAAGGCATTTGGGTAATAAGCCAGTGAATGGAAGATCTATCTTTCTGTCACTTTACACTTCAAATACATTTTAAAAAATTCATTGGAGTTAAATCAATTTTTTTTTGTATATCAATTTTATTTCAAGACATTAACCAACAAAAAAAGAAAACAGGAGTTCATGTTACAGTAAGAATTCTGTTTTGCGTGTTGATGCTAGCTTGGTAAAATGACATTCTTGGCTAATCCTGAAGGCTCATTTTACCTCATACTTTCAGCCTCAGCCAACCAACCATCCATTTCTTTATCCACCAAGCAAATTTGTTCAGCACTTGCTATAGACACATTAGAAGTTTTGATGACAAGTGCCACTAAAGGAGCAATGATAGGGCCAGAAGGTAAAAACTGTAATGCCTGCTTCCATTGTGGGGTTCTAACAAGAGATAATCCTGAAAGTTTTTATGGTGGGATAATCTTGTGCCATTTATGCTCATTTAACATACCCTTTTCAACATTTTAGACAAGCCTAAGGACCTGGCATCATCTTATATGAATGGCAGTGATTTCTTGTTCCACATAGTTCACTCCTGTGAAGTTTGAAAGTTGAGTGTTAACTGTAGGTCTGAGTGTGCATACAGGCGCGATCTGAAAGCAAAGTGTGGAAGCCTGAACTGTCCTGTGTTGGTGTCCTGCAGGCACAGATATCAACGGGGCCCTTCAGACAGCCATCAGGCTCCTCAACAACTACGTGGCCCATAATGACATCGAAGACCGGAGCGTCTCCCTTGTCATCTTCCTCACAGATGGGAAACCCACTGTTGGGGAGACCCACACCCTCAAGATTCTCAATAACACCAAGGAGGCAGCCCGCGGTCAGGTCTGCATCTTCACCATTGGCATTGGGAACGACGTGGACATTAAACTGCTGGAGAAACTGTCCCTGGAGAACTGTGGTCTCACGCGGCATATCCACGAGGAGGAGAATGCTGGTGCACAGCTCATTGGGTCTGTGTCTGTCCTGACAGGGTCATGAGAGGGTCTCTGAGGGGGCTGAAGGGCTGCTTTCACTGAGTAACCCCAAGAGGAGGCTATTTCACTGCTTATTAGCCTCATGTTTGCTGGGCATGAGCAAAACACCACCATGCACTGTTTTGAAGCCTGGCAGATGTGTGTCTAAATTTTGATCGTGTTTTGTGATGTTAGGCAAAATTTTAAGACTGTCTTGGCCTTCATTTCTTTATCTGTGAAATGAAGACTGTAACAGAAACCCACAAGAAATCTTTCTGTGTGTTAGCACAGTCGCTATTACATGTAAGGGGTCTTCAAAAAGTTCACGGGAAAATCAGTATTCGGAAAAACTATGCATCAATCACAGCTTTTTTTACATGAGATAAACTTATCATTCAGTTCTGCTTTTCTATAACCTTTTTGAACTACCATTGGATTAGGGATTCACTAAGCAATTATGGTTTTGATCACATTCTTGACAATTTGAAGATCTTGCTAGTATATGTATGCTGCCCACGAGGGAGGCAAGAGAGGTAATGTTATTTCCATTTTGAGCACTAATTATATGATCATGTTTTTACCTACAGATTAAGACTTGGGTCCTGAAATATCTTCCCAGTTAGAACTCAATCCTTTGGCCAAATAGCCTATGACATTGCTGCTGATTCAATGAAGTCTCAAGTTCAGCATGGCATGATTCAATCTGCATGTGTGGCATGTACAATCTAAAAGGAAAACAAATGAGCTTTGTGTGTGTTTACAGATACTTCTTAGTTATATTAATGCAAACTTGTTCATGATAGATCTCAAAGGTGTGCAATACAGACATGCCATCTAGAAATGGCCAAATATTTTACTCTCTTATATTCTATGGGACAGGCTAGATCCTGCCCAGTGAGGACATTCAGAGACTCGGGTTCCTTCCATTTCATTGTCCTGCTTCCGTTAGTGTTATCCTTAAACACCAGGTTGAAATTAGGTCAATATCACCTCCATTTATCAGCCATTTATCAGGATAAACTAGAAAAAAAGCCCATGTTTAAGAGGACCAGATTAAACCTGGCGTGTTGTAGAAGTAGTGGAGAACAATGGGTGGAAATTTCAGGGAGGGAGGTTATAATCTCCTGTAAGATCATCAGCAGAGGGGTTGGAGAAGAAGCTGAGACCCCTGGAGAGATGTGGGTTTTCCCCAGTGATATTTAGACCGCTGTGGAATCATCCCCGTCATTACTATTATAGGGGCTACGGGACTGGACCTGCCACTTGTAAAATGAGCCCCACCCCCTGAGAGAGCCAGTTGCTTCCACAATGCCTGATTCTTGCTGTTCTTCTGCAGCTTCTATGATGAGATCAGGACACCGCTCCTCTCCGACATCCGCATGGACTATCCCCCTGGCCTAGTGGAACACGCCACCAAAACCCTGTTTCCCAACTACTTCAACGGCTCAGAAATCATCATTGCTGGGAAACTAACAAACCAGAAGTTGGATCACTTGCACGTGGAGGTCACAGCCAGCAACAGTAAGAAGTTTGTCATCCTGAAAAAGGACGTGCCCGTGGGGCCCCAGAAGGTGGAGAGTGATGTCACAGGGAGGCCCGTGGCTGATGCGGATGGCAAAAAGGGCTCCAATCACATTGAGCGCCTTTGGAGCTATCTCACGCTGAAGGAGCTGCGGAGCTCATGGTTGCAGAGCAGTGATGAGCAGGAGAGAGAGCGGCTGAGGCAGCAGGCCCAGGCTCTGGCGGTCAACTATCGCTTCCTCACCCCCTTCACCTCCATGAAGCTGAGGAAGTCAGCCCTTCGCGTGGACGGGCTGGAGGACACCCATGGCATGTCGGCTGCCATGGGACCGGAAACAGTGATGCAGAACTTGCGAGGAGGTGGTGCGCAGTCAGGTAGGACAACTCTTGTCCGGGGCCAGCCAAGTGGGAGGAATGCGGGGCCCCAGTGGAAAGGCGAGCTCTTGTAAGACCTGGTCACCTCAGCAGGAGACTTTCATTTTGTCATATGGTAATGTTTAAAAGATTTATTTATTTTGAAGTCAGAATTAGAAGAAAGAATGGAAGGGAGGAACGGAGGAAGAGTTACAGTGTTTTACGCGTATGCCTGATTTTCCTGTCTTTTTTTTTTTCTTTAAATAGCATATTCTGGAGCTGATTCTCAAAGATTTATTAAAGATTTATTAAATAACTCTTAAACATTTATTTATTTTACTTGAAAGGGAGAGGCAGATCTCACATATTCTGGCTCACTCTCCAAATGGTTGCAATGGCCAGAGCTGGGCTAGTCTGAAGCCAGGAGCCAGGAGATTCTTCTGGGTCTCTCATATGGGTGCAGGGGTCCAAGATCTTGAGCCATCCTCTGTTGTTTTCTCAGACAGTTTGCAGGGAGCTGGATCAGAATTGGAGAAGCCGGGACATGAACTGGTATCCCTATGGGATGTTGGCACCGCAGGTGGAGGATTAGCCTGGTGTGCCACCACACAGGCCCAGATTTTATTTTCTTTGGAATGTGAAGGATCAAGTATGGACCGTGGGGCTAAATCTCCTTTTGCAGCCAATCACTCAAAATCCAGCAGAAGCAGTCCCAGTCTGTCAGTGCCATTTTGACTGGGGTGATGGGAGGGGAATTGGCAGGGACAAAGACGGGAGAAAGGCACAGTATTCAGACCAAAGCAGAAGCATGTGTTCTGCATAATAGCATTTGGGCAAAATAGCATGTTTTTGAGCAGAAGTTTGTTGTTAGGTTCCTGTCAGATTTCCAACCCCTGGGTGAGAGAACTGGAGACCTTGTAAGGCCTCTGTTAGCACTGCCTCACTGATTCCTCAAGCTCCTAATGCTGAGAAGCATCTAGATGGCATAGGGAGAGCTTAAAATTATCATCCACCCATCCTCCCGATGAGCTGTTACGGTTTCTAAACCTCTCTGTTTCTCACTTCTCATCTGTAAAATGGGCACAATAACTTCGTATATTTTATTTATTGGAAAAGCAGACCTACATAGAGAAGGGATGACACAGAGAGAAAGAGAATTATCTGCCATCCTCTGGTTCATTTCCCAAATGGCTACAGCAGCCAGATTTAGGCCAGGCTAAAGCCAGGAGCCAGGGACTTCATCTGGATCTTCCATGTGGGTGTCAGGGACCCAAGAAGGGGGCTGTTTCCTGCAGCTTTACCACGCACATTAGTAGGGAGCTGGGTCAAAATTGGAGCAGTCAGGACTCAAACCAGCTATTGGGTTTTACCTGTTATGCCACAAGGCTGGTCTCCCATCTTTGTCTCCATAAACTCTGAGGATTTTTAAATTTATTATTTTTTTTTTGTTAGAGTTACTGCCTGCCACTCCTCAAAGCAATCATCCAATCTATATTGCTTCTTATTGGTCCATCGGTTCTGCCCATGTCATGTTGGCCAGGGACCAAAATTGAGAAAGGGATGCTTAGAAAACATGTAGATACTTCTATGAAGAGAAAAACTCAGTAAGGAGGAGCGTAATTTTGTTAATGAGTAGCTTCGTGTCAGACATTAATTTTATTTATAGCAATTAATTGACTTTTAGGTTAGTTTTTGATTGAAAGCTTATTTAAAATAGTAATTAAAAATATTTATTTATTTTTATTGGAAAGGCAGATATACAGAGAGGAAGAGAGACAGAGAGGAAGGTCTTCCATTTGCTGACTCACTCCCCAAGTGGCCACAATGGCCAGAACTGAGCTGATTTGAAGCCAGGAGCAAGGAGCTTTTTCCAGATCTCCTAAATGGGTGCAGGGTCCCAAGGCTTTGGGCCGTCCTCGACTGCTTTCCCAGGCCACAAGCAGGGAGCTGGATGGGAATTGGAGCAGCCGGGATTACAGTCTGCACCCATTAGGGATCCTGGCGTGTGCAAAGGGAAGACTTGAGCCATTAGACTATTGCACTGGGCCCAGTAGTAAGTACTTTGAAACACACACTATTTCAAAGCCTGCTGTCAAACGACTTATATCTTTTTAAAAACCTGCTTTGGGCTTTTGTTTTTATTGTGACAAAAACTGTATAACACAAAATTTACTACCTTAAGTGTACAGTTCAGTTAAGTATATTCACACTGTTGCAATTTCCTGAACATTTTCATCTGAAACTCTGTACCAATTAGACCACACTTTTCCATTGCCCCTCATCTCAGAACCTTGCTTTAAGTGGAGTAATGCAATTGTCCCTGTTGTATGTACATAAATCATAGAAGAGAGGAATATTTAGTCATGAAAGACTTAAAATAGCTCATCCTCTGGGTTTTCCATGACATTTGTGTTTTGAAATCATGCCTCCTCTTTAGGACAGGTGAAGTTTTAAAGTTTTTTTTTTTTTTTTAAATCTCTACTCGTTTCAGTTACAACAGAAGCTGAGTTTTATTCAACTCAATCCTTCTCTCTCCCTTCCAGAATCCTCTTTATATGAGTAATAGTGGTGTTTTATTCCATTTTCTTTTTAGCGTCTACACTGAAGAAGCCGTTTGACCCAAGAATTAAAATCTCTAAAACATCAGGTAAAGGGGGGATGTAGTTGGGTGTGGATTGGCAGTCGGGAATTAGACCAGGAGCCTCCAGTTATCACCCCATATCCCTGGACTAGGCTTCCTTACCCGCACCTGTGTTTAGTTAGTCCAAGCCAGCATCTAACAATGCTGAGAAGCAGGCCACCATTAAGCCATTACATAAGGAAATAACATGGTCCCAAAGAAGCCTGGCAAGATCCCTGACGCGAGACCAGATGGACAAGAGAGGCACGTTTTGATCCTTACTGAGTTTAAAGATGTGTTTTAGAGATCTGAGATAGGCAGGCACCAAGCCTCTGGTGTTACAAATAAAAAGATGATTACTGAAATCAAAATGCATGGTGTGGCAGACAGGACATGGTTTTGCTTTTCAGCTTTAGAAAGGAAGAGAGGATTAAAGATGTCATAACATTTTCTTCTGCCAGTTTTCTGGAATTAGAATGAAAATCCAGATGGGAGTTGTAATGTAAGGATTGGGTTTTCTTCAGTGTCTAAATCCATTCCTGGAAGTCTGATTATTCCCTTTCTGCTTATGTGCTGTCCGTGTTTGCTCCTAAGACTGGGGACATTCATGAGGTTAGCTTTGTGGTAGAGCCTGTAGTCTCCAGTGGACAGAATATAATGCTTTTGGAAACACAAATGCTTTATGGAATGTGCGAAAGCTTTCCTCTTGGACTCTGCCTGGAGTCATAACGTTTGAATCCCTTCCCTTTATTTTGGACCAGGCAGCATTGTTTCTTCTTACGGTGAATTGAATGATTTGAAAAAATAAATGATATGTGAGACACAAGTAGAAACTCCCAGAATTGTCAGACAAGCTGTGTTCACAGCTAAGGAGTTCTTATAAACAAACGTTTTTTGATTGTTCCAGCCAAATGTCATTTATTTTTGCATTAAGAAATACAAACACCTTGGTGTCATTCTTAGTGCTTGAGGCACTGAACAGTGTGAACAGCAGATTCTCCCAATGGCCCTAAGGAGTGAGTGTCGGGAAAGAAAGCATTTTTCTAGGAGTCCTGAGGAAAGGAATCTGCTTGTAGCTGGACAGGACTAGACTATTCCTGACCCCTACCTCCATCACGCAGACTTGTGTACACCATACATGCATGCATATGAAGTGGACTGGCATCAGGGAACCTGGTGCCCAGTAAGAGAAAACAGCGGATGTAGACTCTTGGGAAGTATTTTGCCTGTGCTGCAGGGACGTGGCTGTTCCTCTTTAACAGAGAGAAACATGAGGAAAATGGACCAAGAACTGGGCCGGCTGAGTTCTGTGTTCTCATCTATAAAAGCCAATTGAGAGCAATAAAGTCAGAAAGACCCAAATGAGAAATTTCCACTACTGTCATTGATGACTGACTAACCCCCTTTTGACTCCTTGCGCTTCACTGGTAATAACTTCCTCCATACTGATCTTGGCTATTACATCTTGCGTGTGAAGATTTTGTGGCCTCTGGTACTGTGAGTATTCTTGAGCTAGCTTACACCTTCCTGGTAGGAGTGCCATAGAGGTCCTGCAGTTTGAAAGGCAGGGTCCTCATTCAGAACTCTTTATTGGGGTAATTGAAGGACTGAGAGAATGGCAGATCCACATAGAAAACTGAGGAACATGGATATAGTATTAGTTGAGCGTAAATGCAGTATTGCTCCTTCCTTTTCATATTGTTCTATACTATCCTGGCTTTTGTTTCTGTGTTTTAAAAAGTACTTACAAGGCTAAATGCTCATAAAGAAAACAGATTCACTTGGCTCACAGTTTTGGAGGCAGAGACTTCAATAGCAGGCAGTGTCACTTGTTCAGCCTCTGGTCAGGTGGTAGCATCATAGCAGAGGTGCATGAGAGAAGGCCAGGCCTCAAGGTGAGATGTACCATGAACATAGGGAAGGAACAAGTCTTTTTGAAAAGTTTACTTATCTCTATATATTTATTCAAAAGGGAGAATATGAGAGAGTGCTGGTTCAGTCCCCAAATTCTGCAAACTTCCCTCCTCTACCCTCAACAGCTGCATCTGGCATAGGTCAAAGTTCCATTTAAATCTCCCATAGATGGGGGACCCAAGTACTTAAGCTATTTTGTGTTGCCTTCTGGGGAGCACATTAGCAGGAAGATGGAAGGGAAGCAGGATTCAAACCCTGCCGTTTGTGTCCAGAAGGAAACACAGGCCTCTCCAAGAGCATCTTCATTACTGAATCTCAATGGTCACTTCCTGTTGCTTTTTAAAAAAAAAGATGTATTTGTTTTTATTGGAAAGGCAAATTTACAGAGAGAAGGAGAGACAGAGAGAAAGATTTTATGCCTGCTGAGTCACTCCCCAAGTGGCCACAACAGCTAGAGCCTCCTTCAGGTCCATGCTGGCACAGGGTCCCAAAGCTTTGGGCCATCCTTTACTGCTTTTTTTGCCCTCTAACAGGGAGCTGGAAGGGAACTGGGGCAGCCACAACATAAACTGATATGGGATCCCACGGTGTTCAAGCCAAGGATTTAGCCATGAGGCCGTTGCCCCAGGTTTTCACCACCACACTGGGGACCAAAATTGGGGGCACACTGAAATCATAACCCAATTAAAACACCCTTTTACTTCTCTGAAAGCTTAGTTTTCCGAATTTAACTAAGAAGTGGTAAAGGAATATTAGAAGACATAGAGTCACATATTTTTCCCTTAGTGTATGCTAACTGGCAGGTTTTGGGGAGTTACTTCACTCCAACGCATCTTCCTCATTCAGGAGTTGAGGATACCTTCCTCCTAGTTCTATTGTCAGGATTAAATTAGCTATTTATGAGAAAACACCAAGCAGTGCTTACATGCAGTAGACACTCATTGAATGTGTTTCTTTTCTCCCCCTTTGTTCCTGTCGCCACAGTGGATGGGGATCCTCACTTCGTGGTGGATTTCCCCTTGAGCAAGCTCACAGTGTGTTTTAACATTGATGGAGAACCTGGGGACATCCTGCGGCTAGTCTCTGACCACATGAATTCTGGTAAGTTCTCCCCTCTCTCATGGCAGCCTAGGCATGGATCAGGCAGATATTATATTTCTCTTTGTTTTTCAAATGAATGTTCAAATCATGTAAAAGAACATCATAAGTGCTCAGTGACTACTGGACATGATTAATTAGGATTTGGGCCTGAGTTGGAATGATACATTCAAATCCATGCATTGTAAGGAAGTGTTGTGTGGCTTTCAGTATATGCTCTAGGACCTGCACTTGCAGTCACAGACACTTTGCTAGTCTCACAGGGCTATGGTAAAGTTGTTCCAGTTAATTTTTAAAAAGGGATTTAAACATTTTGCCTGAAAGTCAGAAAGAGAGAGAGAGAGAGACAGAGAGAGAGAGAGGATTTTCCATCCTCTGGTTCACTCCCCAAATGACCACAACAACCAGAACTGAGCCAGTCTGAAGATGATAGCCAGGAACTTCTTCCAGGTCTTCCATGTGGGTGCAGGAACCCGAGGCCTTTAATCATCCTCTGCTGCTTTCCCAGACCATTAGCAGAGAGCTAGATCAGAAGTGGAGCAACTGGAACTAGAACCAACACCCTAATTGGGATGTTGGGGCTTCATAACGTGCTACACCATGGGGCCAACACAAAATAGTTCAAATGAAACAGTGACTAAGCAATTGCCTCGTAAGGGCTCAATGTTATAGAAATTCATGACATATCATTGTCCTTATGTACATATTTTTTCCATTTAGAAACTGAGGGAGTTTCAGCTTCAATTTCAGTTACTTGATGAGTTAGATGTGAAGCCTGTATGTTAGTCATACGTACACCTGTATATAAGGGCTCTGGTCTCCTTATTTCTGGAGAGCCTTTAGTTCAATGCAGGTAGTCACATTTGGGGCTGGCTGTATGGACAGCTGCCCAGCCTGGTACTGAGAGGATGCCTTGGCATTTCTCAATGCTGAGAAAATAACAGTTTTGGAAGATCATGTACAGATGATCCCCAGCTAGGTGGCAATATATGATGTCATTGTTAAGGCTTAATCTGGGGACTCCTTGATCACTTGTTCTCTTGCATGGCTCTCTAGCCTCAGAGCCAAATCTCTGCTCTTTCTAAATTCAGAGGACTCAGGAACAAGTCCAGGCCTCCCTGTATTTATCTGTGGAAATACCCCTCTTTTACCAGCAATTTGCATCATTTTTGCATTGTGCAAGGTGTCCTTGAGGGAGAACTGAGCCCAAAGATGCTTGCAGGCTTGGGGCTAAGGATCAGGGGCTCTACATCTGCAGGAATTTCTCCTCTCGCTTTGACCTGTTACCTCTCGCTTTGAATGTCTAAGAAGTCACAGCTAAGATTTACTGGAAGATTATTGCCAAGGCAGGGGAAATAAAAATTTATATTTTTATCATTGTAAATAGCCTCTTTATCTGACAGTAAAATATGTTTTATATGCATCATCTACTTCATTCCCGAACATCTCTCATACACTTGCCATCTGTTTGCTCTTTAGTTGGACATCATGGACTCCTAAGGGCTAGATCTCAGGTCTTGATGATCAAATCCAGTAAACTGTGGTTATGTGCTTTCTGATGAAAGAAAAAACAAAGCAGGTACAGATGATGGTCAGTTTTGGCTTATATATAAACCTCTGGGAGCCTCAAAAATTTCATTATGTTTTATATTTTGAACATTTTATATAAGAAAACCAAGGCTCATTTTTTAAAAAAGGATTTAGTAAGTGGAATAACTTTGAGTTTGAAGGCTAGCAAAAGCCTGACATCTGCATTATAATACACTAATTAATTTTGTCACCAGATCTCAAAATAGACACAGTGGCAATTGGCAGATACAAACCGTAGCTTCTGCTAGAAAGAGACTTCATCTCTGCAGTCAGACTAGACTGAGAACCAACACACATGGAAGCCACTTTCTAGTACATTCTCCTCTCTCTGCCCCAAGCTACTGGTCAGGAATAGAGGGAAGATCACTCATGACTTCATTCACTCACTTGTTCAGTAACCCCCAAGTATCCTGATGCATGAGTCATTGTTCATGGCACTGGAGACACAAAGATGAGAAAGGAAATTCTGTTTAGACACCATCAGCAGGAAAATAGGGATAGTTTTTGTAATCATTGTTCTCTTCTTCTCAACCTTCAAGGTGTGACAGTGAATGGAGAGTTGATTGGGGCCCCTGCTCCTCCCAACGGCCACAAGAAGCAACGCACTTACTTCCGCACCATCACGATCCTCATCAATAAGCCAGAGCGGTCTTATCTGGAGATCACGCCAAGCAGAGTCATCTTGGATGGTGGAGACAGGCTTGTCCTCCCTTGCAACCAGAGTGTGGTGGTGGGGAGTCGAGGGCTGGAGGTGTCTGTGTCTGCTAATGCCAATGTCACAGTCACCATCCAGGGCACCATAGCCTTTGCCATCCTCATCCACCTCTACAAAAAGCCTGCGCCCTTCCAGCGAAACCACCTGGGTTTCTACATCTCCAACAGCAAAGGCCTTTCCAGCAGCTGCCATGGACTGTTAGGTAGCAGCTGCTTTCTGCTTTATACTGACCTGAAAGAATAAAATCAACTCCCCAAGTGAAGCTGGTGTAGCCAATGTTGTTGGCTTGATTGAGAAATTCAGTAGGAATAGGGTCCATAGATATTTATATGTATGAAGTTGTCCCTATCTGTAAGGTATTGGTTCCAGGATACCTGCTCCCTTTGCTGCTTCCCAAAGGATGCTGAAATCCCCCATTTAAAGTAGTATTTATGCATATCCTTCCAAGTAACTTTTAATCACATCCAGAATACCTATAATACCGTCTACAATGTAAATACTGTGTAAATAGTGATCAGAATACATTATTTAGGGAATATTGTCAAGAAAACATAGTCTTATATTATTTAGGAAATGATATCAAGAAAAAAAAACAATCTATATGTGTTCAGTATGGATGTAGCCATTGTAGGCCTGAACATATAATATATGTCAGCAGCAGCATAATACTTTAAAAATATCTTTGATCCACTTTTGGTTGAACCTATCGATGGGAAACTCATAAAGGGGCAACTATATTTATAGTATGTTAGATTTCTTGCCTCCAAGTGACTTTATGAAACTGGAATGGGCCTTACAAACCAGTTTTCATAAGCTCTGCAAAGAGTGTAAGATCAGCAAAAAGGCACAGATTATGGACAGCACAGAACCCTACAATAGCGTGAGAGTTATCTGATGATCCCTTCCACGTGGCCAACAGCAGCAGGCAGGCCATTCTGTATGGGTTTCTTCAATGTGCAATTTCGTGTGGGCCTCTTGTCCAAAAATAGCGAGTCAGCCATTGCCAGGGCTCAGTTTGGAAAGCAGGATTTCCTGGCACTTGGGCTGGATGTGTTTTGAAGAGTCTGGTTGCCAAGTGTGAGCTCCCACTCACAGATGCACGTCTGTATCCTTTTAGTCTAAGCAATGACCTTATTTGACTTTGAGAATTCTGAGAATGAGTGTCAGGAATTAATTTTATGGCATGAGATTTATAACCTGGGAGGAAAGAAGGAACACCTGACTCCACTACCTTGATTAACTGTCCTCCCAACCCTGTAGGATACTATAGTCATCTTCACTGGTTGGTTAGGTCACTAGCTAGCATTAACCACTGGGCAGTTTCTGGTACTGTACCATGTGTGAGTGCCTTCTGGTAGAGTTCAACCTAGAGCTGGGGTCCATCAAAATCCCTCCCGCCCCTGATACCATTGACTCCAACATGTCATTGCCTGTATTTTATTGACATATGATGCTTTTTGTCTTCCCAGGTCAGTTTTTGAACCAGGATGCTAAACTCTCAGAGAGCCCTGCAGGGCTCAGCAAGAATCTCACGGTTTCTCCACACCCTCAGGCAGAAGGGAAGCCTGAGGCCATCCTGAAAGTGAAAGGGCATAAAGTACCTGTGGTTTGGAAACAAAGGAAGATCTACAATGGAGAAGAGCAGATAGACTGCTGGTTTGCCAGGAACAATGCAGCCAAACTGATCGACGGGGAGTACAAAGATTACCTGGCTTCTCATCCATTTGACACAGGAACAGTCTTGGGGACATCTAGGGGACTCTGAAACTGGCGGTCTTAATGATGGGTGTGCGTGATAGAGGGGCTGATTTTGAAAGACTTCATGCTAGAGCATTGCTGTCGCTTGTGCATGCCTGGTTTCTCGGCCATGAACTTACTCCGGAATGTAAGTCTGCTGTTTGCTTGAATGATATATGGGCACAGGAAGCTTGAGTGAAAATATTTCCTTTGCTTTCCCCTCTTACTTTCCCACCCCTCCGTGCTTCATCAACAATAGAGAAACATGATGGCACAGAAGAGAGGAGGATCTTGGTAAAAGGCAAGGAAGTCGTTGTCCTGTACCAGTTGGCTTAAACATCTTTTAGCCTCACATAAACTAAGCTCTTCTGGTGAAGGAAGGTTGCCAGTTTTATGATTTCTCTGTGACCACATTTAGGCACTCTACATTTTGCCTTGTGTGCAGGTTTGAAAATCGCCCCTTTTGTTATTATTGTGTCCTCCTGATGTGCAGCCAGTCTCTGGTCTCAAAGGAATCCCTCACTGAGCCCAGACCACTGATCACAAAAACAACAAATCATTGTGACCACTGTAGATCATTTTTCCCCTTAAAGCATGGTTTTATTTAGTTGTGAGATGTCACCCTCAAAAGTTAGGTTTTACTTAAAATTTTTTTTTATTAAAATTTAAGAAATCTATACCCCAGATCTCTTTCTGCTGCACTTTGCAAACCAGTTAATTTTGCCAGAGGCTCTTCTCTAGTTTATTATAATAAGTGAAGTGCTTTTAAAACATAGGACAACCTCATGTGGATTTTTTTTTTTTTTACTGGCCTGTCTGGTGCTAAGAAATTGGCCAGTTGAATGACAAAATTTTTGCTTGGAATTCTTCAGCCTTTGTCATCATTCCTGGAGGCTTTCTGCTTGTAGTCATCCAGGCAATGATAAATTACATATGTGTATAGTCCTGAAGGAGCAGATGAGAACACAGATGGAGTCCACCAGCCTACTTGTAGGAGACATAAACTTCCTTCTTCTTCAATTAGGGAGAAGGTCTGTGCTTAGAATCTACAGAGACTGCATCTGTCCCACACGGATAAAAGCTGGGAAATCAATGTGAATAAGTGACTTTGGTTCTAGAACACGGACCAATAGGATCCCCTAAAGAAAAGCTTGCAATGAAAATGGCTTCATTCTTCTTGTGAACATCCCCCAGGAAAGCCTTCTCAAAGAGGAGCGAGGCTGCACAGGGCTTGAAGCCTCCCTCCTGACTTACAAAGAGTTCTTATTCTGTGATCTTCTTGGTCTTCCTGGGGCCTCTTGGAATGGAGAGTATAATCAGGAAGCAAATGGATGTGAAGATGGTGGGTGCACATGAGCCAAACAGCAAGGAAGGAGCCACTGTGGTTAGGGAAATGAAATATTTTGATGTGAACCGGAACTGAAGGTTTTGATGTTGGCTTCACAAGAAGGGATGATGCCAGAGTAGGTTATGCACGAAATGTCAAGGCATGCTTAGCACGTAATGAGGAATCAAAGTTAAGGAAAGTGTTGGTCATACTTCCCTTCCCAAGGGACACATTTGAACAGAAACAACATCCACATGTCAGACTCAGCAGCTTCAGGAGTGAGCTGGGTGATGGTGCAATCCACTTTTGGAGTCTCTGTCTCTCCCCACTTCCTGGACCCACAGACTGTAGTCTGATAGCTGTGCTATTTGACTTCCTTTTTCCCAAGCTCAGCTGCCTGTTTTCATGCCAGAGATACAAAGATGACCAGCCCAAATTGCTGACAGATGCTTCTATGTTTCAGAGCCCAGAGAAAAAAAGAGGCGTGTGAGAGGGCAGCTAGTGCTTGATCAGGCTGTACATGAGTTTTTTATTATAAATCCCAGCTTGGTAGCAAGCCCATGAGCCAAAGAAGCCCAGTGCACTTGGAGCAATGATCTGTTATTGCAGGTGCAACCCCCAACACTGCAGACAGGGGTGCTAATATTAGGCAAGACCAGTTATTACTGCTTCTGATGTTGCCTTATTTAGGAGCAGAAAAAAAAAAAACTCCAATGAGATACCTATCAATAGCTCCTACATCAGAAAAAAAATTAAATAAATGTTGAACTTTTGACAAATGTCACATCTTTCCCTCTCTGTCTCTCTCTAAAAGGTGTTAATTATTGGAATTTCTGTTTTGGTTCAATATTGATATTTCTCAGACTGAAATCCTACACCAATGTTATGCCTAAAAGCTTTTCAGCTAATTGAAAAATGTTCTATTTTCCATTGATCGTGTGTTTTGTGAATATTAAGGATTTTGAATGCAGAAGGAAGGAGAAATTCTCTTCCTACATAGGAAAAATTGGAGCAGAGTGCAGTTGAGTGACTTCTCCCTTGTGTCATATAAAACACAGAGCAAGAAGGGGACTAGGTCTGCATCCACCAGAGTTCATTTTGTCAGTTTTGATCTATTTCTCCAACTGGTCAATCCATGGGCATTGATAAGTAAGGGAGGTTACTAAGCAAGCAACAATGAAAAAAATCCCATAATTAGATGAGATGGATGATAAGCCTCCTGCTTATCATAATAACTAGTGTTAATGAGTCTCAGTGATGGGCTCACTGGTACTTGGAGGGAGTCCTCATCTCCCAGGACCAGTTCCTTTGCTTGTCTGGAAAGGAAAGGCATCTGAATGGCTTATCTTAATGGTGTCATCTAAAGTTTTATGTTCCCCACAGTGAAGTGGACAGAATGTTCTTTGCTCATTTAAGCTAAGGGCTTTGTTTTCCTTCACTTGACATCCTGACGATATGACTTGGGGGTCAGCTTGTTTGGGAGGATAAACCTCCACTGTCCGTGGCAGCCAGGCAGTTACCCTGAGTGTGCAGAGACTGGGAAACTGGAGAGTGCCTCTTGGTTCCTAACAGGAATAGCAATTATTGTTTGAGTGGATCATGTATCTTTCTGGGTGGATTGGGAATAGGAATTGGTCCTTTCAACACACCGTTTGGCTTAAACTGAATGCTGTGGGTCAAATATTTGTGTTTCTTTCCTAACTCATATGGTGAAGCTCAAGTCCCCAATGCATTGCTCCTTAAAGCGGGACCTTCGAGCAGTTAGGTTGAGAGAGCTCAGCCCTGATGAATGTAGTTAGTTGTCCTTCTGAGGAGAGATGTAAAAGAAACAATCTGTCTTCTCTTTGCCATGTGAGGGTACAGTGAGATAATCATTTGCAAAACAGTCTGAGAGTTCTTACCAGACACTGAACCTGCCAGTCTCTTGAACTTGAGCTTCCCAGCCCCTGAACTGTGAGAAATAAGTTTCTGTTGTTTATGCCACTCAGGACAGGATATTATTGTCACAGCAGCCTGAGCTAAGACATAGAATCACTTAAAGTTTAAATTTTCTTTCTTCAAGCTTCTCAGAACATAAACAAACAATGCTCTTATTAAAATTTGAAGAACTCTTGGAATTGCAAGAACATGATCCAGCTCAAATTAAACAACAAAAATAACAGTTAAGCAAATATTTAGAAATGTAGCTTTGAACATCTATTTGAGTCTCTTAAGTAGGGCATAAGATAATTCCTATTACAAAGATTTTTTTTCTTCATAAAATTTGTTAGAGAATGGTGTCTAAAAACAAATGCATTTATTTATTTTCTTTTTTTAAAAATGAAACAGGGTAAGGGCTGTTAAGAATGAAATTTGGTGATCCTACTTCTGCTGTTCATGTATAGGAAAATCTGAATGGAATAATTACCTTGGAAGAATAATGTTATAGTAACACAGGATATTGTAAAGAACAGCAAATGTACAGCACCCGTTCCTGTGCTCTTACAGAAAGTGTCCAGGACATTAGTGCATTCCTGTGTGTGGATTCTGCAATCCCAAACCTTTCCACCTGTTCCTTGGGTCACTCACCTGCACACCCTATGCCTGTTGTTTAGATTGGTGCTTCTTCCATTGATTTGAGGTTCAGTTTCCCTCCAGGGATATTATCCTGACTTGTAGTTAAGCAGTCTTATCCCTCATTCTCTGTGGCCTGCCAGACCTTGTTTAGATTCCAGTGGCATTACATTAACATGGGACCAACAGAGACATAGAATCCATAGGAGACATCTGTGTTAGGCAGTGGGCAAGATGTCAGGAACTTCAAGTCAGCCTCTGTGGGCATTGGGCTCTCTAGTTACACAATGAGAAAATTGGAGCATGTAGTTAACTCCTAGGATCATATTATCTTTGTCTTCACTTTCAGATGAACGTGCTTCCTGCACTGCCAAGTGCAAATGTTAAAGTATTCAATCAGAGACTACAATGTGCTTCATGGGCCAGTATGCCAGGTCCAGGGATTCAGAGAATGCACCTATGATGCCCTAGCATTCACCATTTAGAACAGGTCAGAATGCAATGGCAGATCTGTGATCTGAACACAGACAAGGTGTAATCATGAAGAGAGATCTGACCACTTCAAAATTGGGGGTTGAATTAAGCTGCAAGGAAGAAAAGCATACACAGTAACATTCATATAGGACACATTTGCTATCATGTTGGATAACTGAGAACAGCTTCCAGAACCCTCCCTACTTATTCAGGTTCAAATACAGTGCTGTGGTGTTTATGACTTTTGTCAGGTTGCAACAGAAAATGCTTGGTGCAGTTCCAGCTTCCTCATTTTCTGACCCTCTCAGATTGGTCCCTAACCCCACATCCTTGTATTTGTTTGCTTAACTTGCACTCCTGGAACACAGAGGATGCTTGAAAAAGTACAGAACTTGGCCATGGGTTCATTCAGCAAACGAGGCTCCTGGTGGCATTTGGCGAACTTCAGAAAAGCATCTGTTTTTCCTGGAGTGCTTTGACCTCCATGAATGTTCCATGCTGCTTGGGCTGTCGGGGACACCAAGCCTCACAGCTTTCCGCCTCTGTTATAGTGAGAAAATTGAGGGATGAGCTGTTTCAGTTATTCTCTCATTTCACAAGGGCTATATCTTTGCATGGCGTTATCACCTTGATAACTTTCCCAGGTATAACTCTCCAGTTTCTCCTGGGTGGTT